GGCTGGCGCCCTAGCCGGCTGAGCTATAGGCACCGAGCCGAGACAATGTTTTAAGCAAGCACTTCAATACTAAGTTCTTTTGTGTGCAGCAGATACATCTAAGATTTACTGTTTTAGCTTTTTTTTTAAGACACTGTCACCCAGGCTGGAGTACAGGGGAATCATCACAGCATCAAAGTGCACTGTAACTTTGAACTCCTGGTCTCAAGTGATCCTCCTACCCCAAGCTCCCAAAACACTAGGATTACAGGTGAGCCACTCAGCTTGACTAATTTTAACCATTTCTGAGTGCACAGTTCAGGGACGTTAAGGACATTCACACTGCTAGACAATCATCACCACCACCCAGCTCCTGAACTCTGTCTTGTGCCCAAACTGAAACTCTGCATTGATTAGCCACTAACTCCTCCTCCCCAGGCAATCAATCACCATTTCACTTTCTGTCTCTATGGATTTGATTACTCTAGGTGCTTCCTGTAAATGGAATCACATGTATTTATCCTTTTGTATCTGGCATATTTCACTTAGCATAATGCCCTTGAGGTTCACCAGTGTTATAGCAGAACGTCCTTCCTTTTTAAGGCTGAATAATATTGTATCCCATGAGAGATCACATAGTCTTATTTATTCACCTGTTACCTGGGCTGCTGTAAATATAGCTGTACATGATCTAAGTCCCTGCTTTCAATTAGTTTAGGTATACAACCACTGATACTGTTTTTACAAGGGCTTCTCCACAGAAAGCATTAATTAAAAGAAAGTTTTCTAATGAAAACATTAAAAAGAGGGTGGTGCCTGTGGCTCACTGGGTAAGGCACTGGCCCCATATACCGAAGGTGGCGGGTTCGAACCTAGTCCTGGACAAACTGCAATAAAAAAATAGCTGGGCGTTGTGGCAGGCGCCGGGGGTCCCAGCTACTCGGAAGGCTGAGGCAAGAGAATCGCCTAAGCCCAGGAGTTGCTGTGAGTTGTGACACTATGGCATTCTATCAAGGGCCAATAAAGTGAGACTCTGTCTCAAAAAAAAAAAAAAAAACATTAAAAAGAGATTGAACAAATTTTAATATGCTCACTGGAAACGCCTTGCCCACAGAAGCACAAGGCCTACTGCCAGGGCCAGCACCTTCTTCCTCAGAAGAAAAGAAACTTCAAGGCAGTAGATCAGTTTTGCTTCATCTGTCTTGGGAGGAAGAGCAAAGAGGGTTCCCTCCTTCCCAGGTTTCAAAGGCCAGCCCAGCAGGTCTCCTTGCAGCCCATGGCCAGGGCACTCTGTGAGTCACCTAAACAGTAACAAGCCGCAGGCTTCCCACCCCAGGCTCCAGGCTCATTAAATTCTACAGCAGCTCCTGACCCATCCTGTTTGAGTGAGCAGAACTGGCTCCTTTGCTCGGCAATAAGCATGTCTATAAACAGAACGGGAGCTGGGCAGAACAGCATCAACCTTCACTCAACTGGCCCCAGATTTAGGTTGAATATTAAACTGGAAACTCTAGAAGTGACTATTATACCTGCAAAATTCCTTTAGGGAAAATCAGATTCTAAGTTTTATGTGCTGCTGTGAATGGTCTAGGGACACCTGAAGCAAGGACATGTGCCAAAGACCTTGAAGGTGCCTCTGGGGTACTTTTTCCCTAAGTCCCCACCCAAAAAGAGAGCCCAACATTTCTGAGGTCAGGCAAACAAGATTTTTTTTTTTTTTTAGAGTGTCTCACTTTGTCACCCTCAGTAGAGTGCCATGGTGTCACAGCTCACAGCAACCCCAGACTCTTGGGCTCTGGCAATTCCCTTGCCTCGGCCTCCTGAGTAGCTGGGACTATAGGCGCCTGCCACAACACCAGGCTGTTTTTAGAGATGGGGTCTCACTCTGGCTCAGGTTGGTCTTCAGCTTGTGAGCTCAGGCAATCCACCCACCTCAGCCTCCCAGAGTGCTAGGATTACAGGTGTGAGCCACCACACCTGGCCTAAAAGAATTTTTTTATTATGTAGTTACATATGAATACACAATCACAAAAAGTCAAATAATATCAAATTATAGAGTAGAAATTGAGAGTTCTGTTTAAATTATCCCCTTTAATCCTACTCCTCCCTTCTACCTAAACATAATTACCATTAACATTTTGGTATATATATTTCATGCTTTGATATATATATTTTATACTTTTTCTTTCATTTACACACATTAACAACTGAGGTAGATTTTTTATTTCCTTGCCTTTTTGTTGTTGTTGAGACAGAGTCCCACCCTATACCCTGAGCAGAGTGAATGGTGTCATAGCTCACTACAATCTCAGACTTAGGCTGTGGGCATTCCTGCTGCTTCAGCCTCCTGAAGGCACTGGAATTATAGGCACTTGCTGCAGCACCTGGCTGGGTTTTTCATTTTTTTAATGAGTCATGGTCTCACTCTCACTCAGGCAAGTCTCGAACTCCTGAGGTCCAGCAATTCTGTACCAATCAATTAATACATTTTAAACTAGATGTGAATTTTATTCTGTGTATTTTAACCTGTGGACTTAGAATATGTTTAAAGTACCCTTGACTTCTTGTGTATGACACATTTCCCTTATAAATGTTTTTTTTTTTTTTTTGAGACAGAGCCTCAAGCTGTCCTCCTGGGCAGAGTGCCGTGGCATTACAGCTCACAGCAACCTCCAACTCCTGGGCTCA